ACCTTTGGATTCACTGATGTGGGGGCTAGGAGAATTTCAAAATTGTTACTAACAGTTGCCGACAAGGACAGTTGTGATGAGATGTTATTTACCAAAATTAGTCATTGCCTGACCACCAGGATGGGGTCACTTTGTCTTGGGTGGGCACAGTTTGGTATTCCTTGGAACTGTTTATGGTTCCTTGGCTGGAGCTGAATGAGCCTTGTGCCTTGCAGGGAATTTCTCAGGGTGGCTTTTTCTGAGAATGGAGTTAACTCTATCCTCTCCAGTTTACCTTGCTCTTACACCTTCCTTTCAGCAGGACAGTTGGGGTATTAGCAAAGGACAGAAACTAACCACATCTCTTTAAGACCTCCAAAGGAGGACAAGGCCACTTCCATATAATTTAAACGAGGCATATGACAAATCTACCCAAATTTAGCAAAGGAAAAATAGATCATGACTTTTTTTAAAAAAGAAAGATTTATTTATTTTATGTATGAGTGCTTCAGCTGTATGTACAACTTTATAGATCATGACTCTTGATGGAAAGAATGGCAATGTATTTATGGCTAGGGGAGTTTAATTAGATCATGGTAGTCCTTAAATTCTGGTTGCTTATTATTGTTGTGTGCTGTTCAAGCCAAACACCTTTGCTACCTATTCCTGGAGACAGTTGGCTATTGTGTCTGGCCCCTGGTGTTTTCTTGGTATCTCTTGTTCTATCTACATAAAACTGACCCCACAGAGATGCAAAAATAAGGGCACTGATGACAGATATTTATTGGCAGTGCTCATGATTTGCCATGTCCATTTCAAGCACTTTATTTTAGTTATCCAATACTTACAGGTGCTAGAGCTAAATTTATTTTGCAGACAAAATACTGAGGCACAGAGAAAGAATGTGACCTGTCTAAAGATGATTATCTAGTAAGGAGTGGATCTGGGAGTTGCAAATATGAGTTATGTAACCTGATTGACCCCAGAGTCCATATTTGCTCCATTTCTTTATTTGTTTGGTTTTGTTCTATTTTTTTTAAATGAATGAACCTATAGAACTACTGAGTTATGTCATTCTAGATAAGACTCCTTTAAAATTGAATACTTCATATTCAAAATATATAATTCACTGACAAAGCCTAGTTTCTTGATACAGCATGCAAGGCTGAGAAGTGGAATCAGTGGTTTCAAATGTAAATAGGCTAATCCAGAGTTTGGCTCTCTGCACATTGGCTGGTCCTTGAGTGGAGACAAGACAGAAATAACTAGGTGTTCTTTTACCCTTCCACTGCCCCAACCACTATCCTGCACGATTGGGGCATTAATAACCAGACAGGATTGAGCTCCCCACCACTGGCAACTTTGCCGATGAAAGTTTGTAAAACTCCAGTTATTCTGGTTTTTAAGGAGTTACTATTGAGCACCCTGATTGACTTTTAGAAAGACTTCCTTTCCACTTGCCCGATCTTCTCTGATGCAATTTTTTTGAAATGATGTGTCATAGAAGGCTACGCTGCCCTCCTCATGGTCTCAGCGGATATTGGGCTTTCTCCCAGCAAGTTTCACCTCCCACTTCTTTTGGAAATAAAAAGGAAAGGTGTTGCAGGAGTGCTCAGTACCATCTTGAAACTGCATTCTAAGGTCACCCGAATGAGAGCGAGTGAGCAGGCTACGAAAGGCATCCCCAAGGCTCAGAGAGGCATTTAATTCATTTCTCTAGCATCGTCTCACCCAGAACCAAAGCATGATTTCTTTAGCCAACTCTAGGAACATGAGAATGTAACTTTGAGTCAGGGGACCAGGACTGCAACCCAGACACCCACCCCCACTAACTAGTTGTCTAATCCTTAATCAGTTGCTTTGTCTTTCCCGGCTCATTTTCCTCATCTGTCAAGTCAAATGAAGGTTCTGGAATAGATGATCTCTAAAAACCCTTCCAGCTCTACAGTTCTATTCTGGGTCTCTCTGCACCTGCAGATAGACATGTGGGGGCAGGAAGGGCACTGGGGAGGGGGGGTGTAGCCAGGGAAGTAAAACATTTTCACCTGCAGCAGCCTTGTGTCCTTATGTGTGCAGCATAGCACAAGCGTGTCTCAGATTATCCAGATAATTGACCGAGTTCCCTCCTTTCTTTTGCCAATGGACACACAGCTTTCGTTTGGCTGGGAACAGCAGCTGCTTTTCCTGAAATTTCTATCCAGGGCTTCCATCCTCTGCTGTGTCCTCTGGGAAACCTGTCATGTTTTTTCTGGATGGATGCCCATAGAATTTTAATCCAGTCAGAGAGAGAGAGAGAGAGAAAGAGAGGAGAGAAAGACAGGAGAGGAGTGGGGGGCTCAGAACACTATGCACAACAAAAGGCAAAATGTAGTTAACAGCTGTAGATTGACTTTTTATTTAATTTGGTTATTTCAAGTGCTTGCAGCCTAGATGGGCATCTGATAACAATATTATTTGTAATGCAAATACGGAGCTCTGACTAAAGCCAGTGAGTTTACATAGTTAATGCAGGAGACAGCCTGCATATGTGTTGGAGACCTCCTGAGTGCTACCTTGGTTCTGGCATTTCCAGACACTGGGTGAATCTCTAAGTCACCCCAGAAAGTCCCACTGTTTTCCTTTCCCAAGTAAGCATTTGTAGATCCAGTAAGCAGTGCTGGTGGTGTGTCTCTGCCCTCAGAGCTGAAGAGTTCCCCAACTTTAAAAGGTACAATTTTCTAACTAAGTTGTAGAAAGATCTACCCCTCCCCTCGCCAGTAGAAATGTGAATTCCTGAGCTCAGACAGTTGGTGGACAACTTTGAGACACAGGGAATTGGATTTTATTCATCCCAAATCAGGTTGGTGCAGGTTGGCTCCTAGAAATGCTCCTGGCTAGTAATAAATACCACGACCAAAGCAGAACTTCATGTTTTGGCTGCCATCTCCTGTTATTTGGACAAAACAAATGAAAACTAATGTCAAACACTCAGAATGTTTTGGCATGAACATTAAGGGCATAGCCCTGTGTCTCTTTGAGCACCCTTCCTGCCTTAGGGATTCTGGAAACTCAAAGCCGGGAGCGACTGGGAACTGAAATCAGAGCCCTGAGAAATTGATGAAGACCTTGAACACTTCTGAGGTCACAGATAGAGAGAAGTTCAAATTTTGTATTCTTTGACCTGTGGCTTGGACAAGTGACTGAACTTCTTTCGGAGCACCATTCTTTTAACCCTTACCTGGAATGTCGCTACCTTCCTGAGAAAGGGCTTCAGAATATTAAATGTGTTTAGACACCCAATATGAGAGCATTCAAAACAAACAAACAAACAAACAAACAAAAGCTCTCAAGTTCCTACTTGCAACAAAATATGCAAACTTTGTCTCTAAGAAAGTGGAGGGACAGGCACCAAAGTAAAGCAATACAGAAACACACACACAGAAAGAGAGAAAGAGAGAGAGAGAGAGAGAGAGAGAGAGAGAGAGAGAGAGAGAGAAGAAAGGAAGAAAAAAAGAAAAGACAAGAAAAGAAAAGAAAAGGAAAGAAAAGAAAAGAAAAGAAAGTGGAGGGGTAAGGCCGGCTCCCCAGAAATCAGAACGAAGTCGTGAACTGGCCACTCTTTTTTAAAGACTTTCCCCAGGCCTTGACTTCACCAGTAGCAGGTGTGTCTGTCTGCTGACGTCCTGGTAACTAGGAGGCTGCAGAATCCTAAGGCCTAGGG